ATTATGTACCACTGTGGGGTCTGTATAGTCAAGGTCTCATTATGTACCACTAAGGGGTCTGTGTAGTCAAGGTCACATTATGTACCACTATGAGGTCTGTATAGTCAAGGTATCATTATGTACCACTGTGGGGTCTGTATAGTCAAGGTATCATTATGTACCACTATGAGGTCTGTATAGTCAAGGTCTCATTATGTACCACTATGGGGTCTGTATAGTCAAGGTCTCATTATGTACCACTAAGGGGTCTGTGTAGTCAAGGTCACATTATGTACCACTATGAGGTCTGTATAGTCAAGGTATCATTATGTACTATGTACCACTATGGGGTCTGTATAGTCAAGGTAACATTATGTACCACTGTGGGGTCTGTATAGTCAAGGTCACATTATATACCACTATGGGGTCTGTATAGTCAAGGTCTCATTATTTACCACTATGGGGTCTGTATAGTCAAGGTCTTATTATGAACCACTATGGGGTCTGTATAGTCAAGGTCTCATTATGTACCACTATGGGGTCTGTATAGTCAAGGTCTCAATATGCACCACTATGCTAAACGTTTCTGACCAGTAATGCGCAACAAGTTCAATGGACTTTGAAATGATATAGTACATTCCCCTACTCTTAATAAATTTAAGGCCAAGGTGTATAATAAAATATGTTTCAATAATGATATATCTGATTCATTTAAAAATTATGAAAGCAGAAATGGTAACATAATCTTATGTCAACTGAGAAATGAGGCGAGTAACCTGAACTATGATCTGTTCAAAGATCACTTGAAAGAGTCGTCATCTTGTCCGTGTGGTGATGATTATGAAACTTCTATCCATTATCTTTTACAATGTCCAATGTATATTGATGAGAGACAGACTCTAATAAAATTCTTAATGGAAGCGATATGTTAAACAATACTGAAAAGAAATCCATACTTGATAATGTTCTTAAATATATAAACAACACAAAAAGGCTTATTTTGTTAATTAAAACAATCTATATTTTTTGTGATTCTACTGATTGTAATATATACATTGATAGTTATACTATACACCTAAAGGATTAAGCTTTGGGTGCTGTTTTTACTGATGGGTGCAATAAAGTAAAACAAAACTCTGCTAAGTTTGAATGCTTACGTGTTCTGTGGTTGAATCTGGATTCTTCTCGAGTGGATGATATGTGAACGGTAGAGGCCGTTAGAGACTTCGTGTCTGAAAGTCGATGGGATGTAAGATTTACACAATGAACACTGGCAAAACATCTTACACATTTTGAACATGTCTTTCAAAATCTTCTAGCTGAATTGCTTCATTTTATTTTGTAAAATTGTGTTGTAGTTGTATCCCTTACTATTTTATCTTTCCTAGCAATGGCTATATATTGATACTACATGGTTCTATTCTGTTAACTACTTCGTGTAACAGCAACAGGGTATGAACAGGGGGCATTTATGACTGGCATGAACATAAAAATAAATTTGTAGCAATGTCTCTGTTTAATATATCATAAGGGCATTGTATTGCTTGCCTATTACTAATAAATTCTGATTGACTTATTAATAAGAACATTGTATAGCTCAAAATTATTTATATATAGTTGAAACATTCATGGATTTATCTCCCCTTTACCATCTGCTGTATATAGACTGGAGCTTTATGCTACTTAAAATATATAATTTACATCAATATTTTCTTACTAATCGTTTCATCTTTGTCTTTGTCATGTTAACCTAAGGAGAGAATTTATATAGCCCTAGCCTACTGTGCAATCTTATTGTTTACTCAATAAAAGTTGATGAAATGAAATGAAATCATTTAACCTTTATTCTAGTCCCAAATGACCTTTTTGAGGAGCATAATCCATCAGTTTTAGTGATTTTCTTGTTTTTTGTTAATTGGTAAAATATTCAAGTATCGATATAGGAATATTTACCATACAATTTAAAGAAACAAATGCTCAAGTGACCTAATGTGATCTCTTACTTCCATTAAAGTGCATCGTTCATAAACTGTTTTATTATCATTCGCTTAGGAACCAGTGAATGCATGGATTTCTTTCAAACTTGGTAAGAATCATCATGGGTGGCAGAGGTTATCAAATTGTAAATTTGGCATTCCTACCCCATTCCACGTTGACCAATGCTTCAGAAATCTTCTTCTCAAGATTCAGATGTACTAGAATCAATTGGCTAAAATTCCAAAACGCCTCTTCCTCAGACTCGAATGTACCAGAATCAAAAGCACTTCATGAATGAAAAGGTCCTTAGTTGCTTTATCTGAATTGTAAATTTATTTACTCCTGGTCATCAGTTCTCAATTTGAGAAGCTGGGATAAAGCCTACTTGACTTTATACAGGGATATAACAAAGGGCCGGTTTCCAAAACGGCCCCTTCTCTGATTCAAATTTCCTGTTGGTGGTGCATTGCCCATGCCGTTGTGGTCACAAATCTATAAAGTATAAAGATTTAGGTCACTTGGTTTGTTTTTTATGGCTCCTCAAAGTTGTACCTTTCAGAAGCTGTCTAAGTGTTGATAAAATGTGCATGTTATGTAAAATATTAATGAAAATCTAATCAAATGATGGTCACCGTAAAGAATACATTCATGGCATGATTGTGACAAAAAATCATGTTTCCATCGCGCCATTTGGCTGTTTTATGGAAGAAACAATCTCAAAAATGCCATTTTCGATGATAACATTTTAGACACAAAAACTGTGTTTTTTAGAGAATACACCCTTTTATGGGCGTTGGATGCAAACCAATTTTTATCCTATTAAACAGTACGTAATATGCTATTGATGAGAGGAAAAATCATCAAAATGTAAGTGGTGGAACATTTTCAAATGTTGGGTTGAATTAGCCTATGGTTGAATTGCCGATTTTCGACTTTCTTTAGATAATTAACAAAAAAACGAGAGTATTTGCTCGGTATGTTGAGAATATGTACACAGATATGAAAAAAAGTGAGAGAAACACTTTTTCATAAAAAAAATCCAAGATGGCTACTTCACAAGTCCCCGTGGTTGAAGACATTGGCTGACAAATAGACAGAACAACAAACAAAACGTGTTCCTTATGATTTTGGTTGGTTTTCGCATTTACGGGAGTGTTCATAGCTACGGGCGATTGTATAATACCTATATTTATAAGTTTGGTTAGTCACATGGTAACGGGGATCTTTCATATCGAGCCCCAAACATACTTTCGACATATGCACTCCGTTGCCGCATGGAAAACTATTTCAAGTTTTGTCGGAATTTCTTTACCTGTGGTTGTAATGGTCGAGGGTTTTCCAGCGTCCTGTAATACCCAAGGTAGTACAAGATACTGGAGATGTGCGCACACATTCCCATCGTTCTCTCTCCAACTGGGCACTGGCAGTAGTAGTCCTTTATTGGGGCCTCAACATCGGGTGAAACGGTGAACCGTATCCAAACGTTATATTTCGTTTGGCTTTTGTGTCGAGAATGTATTTGACATCGGAGAAGGTCTGGGGAGTGCTGGTAAAGCCACACCTCATAGTCTCCGTCATCACTTAAATGTTCGGCGATGTAACCAGGAGCCAGAGATATCTGATACGTTCCACACGTAATGGTTCTCAAGTAATCAAGATCGAGACGGGGAAACAGTACGGAAGATGCATCCATCTTGACAAACTCGGACCTTGCCCGTCTAGATAGATCCGGATCTGTCTTGACTCTCTGAGCTAAACCATTCGGTGTTGTCAAACGGTCCTTCATACGTTCAGCCATTAGCCTATCTTTGGCATCTCTCTCTGGAGATCTCTGGTAGATCGGTCCTCTAATACCATTCAGACAGGCTGTGACGGTTCGAAGCAAAGCCTCGATGACATTGATAAAGCTGTTAGACACCAATTGCGTTCGGAAGAACGTCCAGTGTTTCAGACGACCATGATAGGATTCCACAATCCACCTCGATTTGGTGATAGTTCTGTCAAGATTTGCTTGGACGTCAGAATGTTGACTTTGACCGGGTTTCAGGTATGACGGCATGCTAGCATTGAGGCCAGAGGCTTCGAGAACTGGTAGGACATCTCTAAAACCTCGGTCAACGACAACGTTGTCGTCTGGTTGTAGCCAAGTAACTAGCTTGTCCATGACTTTTTTTGTAATTGTAGCATCATTTTCGCTGCCAGTGAATGGTCCTACTGTGTCCAGAATGTAGCCATCTGGTAAGGCGATGCTCATGAATTTGAGATAGTTTCTCTTCTTCTGGCCACAGTAGGACATTCTCTGGAGCTTGTGGTCGGAGCTTTTCTGGATATAAATATAGGTGCCATCTAATATGGCAGTGGCTTTATCTCCAAAAAATGCTTCTGAAAAGACAGTATTGTGCCCGAGCAACTGTTCTCTTGTCAAGTGATCCGGACCTAGAAATTGTGGGACTATCGATGTGTCTAATGCCTGTACTATGGAGTGGAAAGTTTTGGACACACTTGACTTGGAAATTCCAAAAAGAGAAGAACACTGACTCCAGGAAATGTCGGTTTTCAGTTTTACCCAGAACAGTAATAGAGCATCGTGTGTAGTCTTGGTATATATACCAGATGAAAGATATGGGGAACAGTGCGAGTGGATTTCGAGGAACTGATCTTTGGACCAACCTGTCCAGGCCATGCATGCCGAGTCATCAAGAGAAGAAAAGCTTATTGTAAACGCAGACTGGTTCTGTGAAAGGACGTGCGACACCTCTAGGAGGTCATTAATGATTTCGGACGATTTTGATGGTAACTGAGATTCCAAGGAACCTCTACCATCAAGGACAACCTCTGTAGACGGATCTAAGTCGTTACCAATAAGGTGAATGGAGCAGACGCGGGATGAGGTGGGACACCACAGTTTGTGTGAATAGATCAGGTGATGTCTTGCACGTTTTGGTAAGACTGATGATTTTGTTCCATTTCTTGCAAAGGTAACAAGACAGAGACAGCATTTTTTGTGTGAAGATGATCCATTCAAAAGATCATGAAGGGTCAGCAACGGCAGGATATGGGACGGGGAGTCGTCTTCTTCCTCTATTTCCTGGTTCTGCTCGGGTTCAGGTTCAGGCTGATTTTTGTTCCGAAGATACTTCATGTAGCACTTCTGGCAAATAAGTGCTTGTTCCTTTGCTGACATCAATCCTTGTTGCACCAGCGTATCTAGGAGCCATTTATATTGTGGACTATTTACATTGCGTGCACTTCTGTTCTTATTGCCACTACGTTTCTTGAAGTATACTTGACACCCTTCTCCAACACATTTACCCTCCATCTTGAAACAATAACGATTGGTTTATGAAGCGTCGATAAAGTAACAAAATAGCAAGCCACCGATGATTGCTGTAAACAGCTAATACTTAGTAGTTTGGTACAATTATGCGAAAATGTGTGATAAATAACGAACAACTAATTACACAAAATAACAAGACAATATAATAAATCACATTCAATACCTCCAAGAAGCGCAGAATTGATTGATTACTTAGAACAAAATAAAGTATTTCATATGGATAATCTATCTATTCGATGTGGCGTGGTCGGCAGGCACAAAGAAAGTGAGACAAGTCAGGGTCCCAACCCTGACAGAGCCACAACGCTTTGGAGATGGGACAATAAAACAAGGAAAGTGAGACAAGAATAGCTAGCGTCGAGTCAATGATTCCGTAAACGTATAGACAAAGACAAGAAGATACGGATAAATGTACAAGGCCACACGATCAGAAAATTCAGAAGAGGACAACTTGAGATAGAACAGTATTCATGTATCAGGGTGTCCTCAGTGTAAATCTTTATATCGATACTGTTTATTTAGTCGTTACACATCATAAAACTGTCATGAAAATATCCGCTCTGATATTCAATATAAAAGTTTGTATATAATAAGCTATATAATAGGGTTTCAGACAAGGTTGTTACTCATTTCCCCTTTTCTTTCAATTTACAACCACATTCAGGCGGCGATATGAGAACGTTCCACCACATGGAATTAGCTGATTTTTGGTACACATATGAAACAAGTAAAGCTCTATCCGATTTTCTGATGGAAATTTGCATCCAAAACTATATAACGGGAGAAAATTGCAATTTTATGGCATTTTTCTTCATAATTGTGTCTCTGCAAGTGCATTTTCTTCCGAGAATATTATTTTTTTCATGTTTTATGAATAAACACGATGTTTTGGAAATATTTATCAAAAGAAATTTATACTATGTTGCGAATTACAATTTCGAGATAACCTTTTATTTACGAACTTATGTCTTTGATGCTGAAATTGACAACTTTATAAAAATACATTTTCACTGAAATTATGAAATCTGGGTGTCGGAAAGGTGTAAAATTATTCTTCGGAAAAGAAAAAAAAACAGTAGTTGAGCTAGATAAGAAATTATACGGGGGCAGGCTCCTATGGAGAATTAACATTACTGGAAACAGGCCCTTTGGTATATTTTGTCCATTTTCAGCAGGAAATAATTCGTATTTAGTTGGAAAATTATGAGATGGCAATTACCGGGCGGTTGTTATGAGAATTAAGGATCCTGCCTCCCTCCTGAAGCTGGAGGTGTGGGGCCCAAAATTTGAAAATTGGCTAAATAAATTCCTCGAACTAGGATGTGCTTGAATCTTATTCTTTTCATGGATGAAAAGTTCACTAGGTGCTTTATCTGCATTGCTATTTTTATTCTATTTTTCCCTTGGGGAAAGGGTAAAGTAAACTATGGCTTTAATAAGTATAAAGAAAATAACACGTTTTGGTACAATTGGTCCATATTCAGCAGGAAATAATTAAAACTTGGTTGAAATAATTATGTTGAAATTGAAATCAGATGGTTTCAGAAAGTTAAGGTTCCGAACAGCTACCCAAAGGGTAGGTCAAAAGTGAAAAAAAAATGCTGAATAATAACCTGATACTTTTTATTCCATACCAAAATAATTCGTTTGATATTTCTTAGTGGTTTTTTCTCTGTGTAATGCATTTTTTCTTTGTATTAATGCTTATTTCTTCCACTTCATGTCTGTACAACTGTTTAAACATGCATTATGTTTGGATCAATATCATTATAGTCTAAAATTTTACTAGTGCACTTTACTTCAGCAAAATAATCATGCAGTACTCAAATTATAATCTATTTTCATTTTGTTATAATGTACATCAAATCATTTGGATATTACAGTTATCTCATAGGCTGATTCCAACACATATTGCATTTGGTCC